ATGGCCATAATCCCTATGTTCCATGCAGAACTGAGTGGCGATCATGGTCGTTGCAAAATGTTGGCACCTGTTTCAGCAGGAAACTGAGTTTTCGACAGACACCACAAAATCGCATTTGTGTAAGTAAAAATTGAAAGTGAAGTTTTGTGCCTGCTTGTGTGTCAATGTCCTTGCTGGTGGAGAGACACATTAGAATGGGTCGAAAAAACGTCGTAATCTACTTATAAATATTATTAAAAATGTTGCTGTTAGGAGGGTATATAAAGTTTGTTCCTGCCGAACTTTAAGCCCTTTTTACTCGATTTTTTGTTTTGTGAAGTTAGCTATACACTGCGAAACCAAAAGGTCATATTGCAACTGATTTGGTTGGAAATTCGGGCCAATACCTCTGAGGTATCTTTCCATACATAATGTACCAAAAAGTGGGCCTACATGGAGGATTTTGGGCTCCATAAGCACAAGAAATATGAAATTCCAGCTGATTTGGTTGGGAATTTAGACCAATATCTTTGAAATTTCGAAAATCAGGAACTAAGTTTATATGGATGCTATACTTAAATGTGGACCCTTATCATCCTTTTCCGATAAGATACATCTTAGAAAAATAACAACTAGAGAACTGATGTGGATCGGGTGATCTCTCCGAAAATATGGTGGCCCCTTCCTTACTTCTTGGTTAGCTCTGTCAATTTGTATACGTCACACTGTAGTGCTGGGTTACACTTTTAAAAATTTTCTACATATATCTCAGTCCAATTTCAATTATATTGTGGACCAAATGGGAAATATATGTCCAACTGAAAAGATTTTTAGGCATTTAGCCTAGAAGCATGAGTGCCAAATTTGGTCAAAATAGGTTAAAATATGGCTAATTGAATTGAAAATAAAATCTTTCCAAGACGTAATTATATGTTCACTACATTTCTGAATTTCTAAATGTTGAAAAATGACTTGACCAGAAATAATACTATGGACTTATAGCAATGATAATGGGTTCGACTAATCAAATATTGCCAGAAAATGCGAATGTAAAATTGGATGGAAATCGATTCAGATTAAGACATGGTTTCCAAATTTCACTTCCATCTGACTTAAATCATAGTTGATTTGATTGAGCTAAGTATTAATAGTTGTAAAGAGTATCAACAATTCGTCCCACCCGAAGTATGTCCTCCCCTTACTGGTTTTAAGTTTTTTTTTTTGTATTTTGTCACATAAAAATCTACTTTACTTACCATGTAAAAACATTTTGCACGACCCACTCTAATATTATCGACCCACTAACCAAAAACCCACGAACATATTTTCTACACTAACAAGACAAGATCCTCTAAAGCCGCGAAAAAGGATATTTTCTTAAGGTTGTTTCTGCGCACAATTTCACAGTTTATGGTATTGTTTACATAGTTTCATTGTTCAAATCTTGTTGTTATTTTGTGCTTATGCTCTCTCAACCCAAAGATTTTAGTTCTTCTTCTTCTTCTTCGTCTTCTGCATCTTAGGCGCCTATGAACCTTATTTCTTGGCATGTTAAAAATCTTCGTCGAATGGTCGTCGTCATAGTTGTTGCTGCCTTATTCTCATAACGTTTATGACTGGCGCTAACACGGATTTTCGTTGTTCTAGGGAACTGTTTTGTTTCTTAGTTTGTTTTGTTTTCAGCTCTCTTGTATTTAGACCATAATAGAAAAGTCAAATGCTAAGAACAAAGGGCTTGGAAAATGCAAGGAGGAGTTGAGGATGAATTTACATTTGTTATGGCAGATTTTGAGTGGAATAATATCTTGTCTAGTGTTGAAAGGGTTGATGCTTGACATTGATGAGGGATGTTAATTAAAAGTGGCACACTTTATATTAGTGGATTTTTGATGATCATTGCGCTTGTAAATTTTTAAGATATTCGTCTGGGACACCATAAATTATATATGTTCATGATACGTAAGTCCACGTTTGTTTCAGTATTCTGAGTATTAGTGACAATTTAAAAAAAAAATTAAAATTTATGTCGACATTAAGTCTTTCAATATAGATCTACTACTTGGTATATGGAAGCCGATGTTAGAAACACAATCGGTAAGGCAAACATTTCTGCGAGTCGACTGGAAATCGTCAATAATATCGACGATTATAATTACAAACATATTCTATCAAATGTCTTATCCGCAATAGCTGGTCGACAACATCAGCCTTAAATACAAAGCTCCAGGCCTTTATAAATCGATGTTTTCGTCACATATTCAGAATTTGGCGGTCAATGCAATGCCGATCCATACTGATGATGCAATATAGGTCCAATAACAATCACCATAAAAAGGAGAAAGTAAATTGGGCACACTCTGAGGAAAACTAAAGAAGAATTATGTGGTCAAGCCCTACATTGGAATCCTCAGATGGCAGAAAACCAGTAAAGAAAGTCTTTAAGTCGGGCGAGACCGGCTTTAAGATACCCTACACCCCTTGCATATTTAGTAGATCTTCACATAACAAATAAATGGGGAATTTGTGAGAATTAAGTCATACCAACTATGATTATAGTTCAATTCCGAAGGAGCTAATATATGAGAGGAATATTCTCCTCTGAATCGATTTCTATTAAGCCGAGGCATTTGTGACTTTTCAAATCGGGCTTGTATTGGTGCACAATTACCTTGAAATCGGATAAAGATATGTATGGGTGCTACATTCAAATCTGAACCGACCTCGATAAAATTTAGCAAATATATTTCTGAGCTGTATTTGATATATTTCCCCAAATATTGTTGTTCCAGAGTGCAAAATAACAAATCGGATGAACAATATATATGGGAGCTATATCCAAATCTGAACCGATCTTGATAAAATTTTGCAAAGATATTTCTGAGCTGTATTTCATATATTTCCCCGGACAACGTCGTTACGCAGTACATATTACGGAGAACAAGTATAGCAAATAGGATGAACAATATATAGCTATATCTGAACTGATATTTACCAAATTTGACATACCTATTTCTAGACTCAATTTGGTCGTAAGTGCCAAATTCCATTCCATTTTGGCTAATATTACACGTTTGGTGCAAAATAAAAGGCAAATCGAACGAAGATACCTATGGGAGCTATATGTAAAACTGAACTGATATCGATAAAATTTAGCAAAGGTATTTTTGAGCTGTATTTGATGTACAGGGTGAGATGAAAAAAACTGCAACCAACTTCAGACTACTGTCATTTCTAAGCCACTCATCCGACATTTGTTAAAATTATTCCATGATAGCTCATTATATTATTTGCAAGCGTACAAAAACATTTGTACGAATTTTTGAGAAAAATTTTATTCGTGATAGAATTCAAGTTTGATAGTGTGATTTGTTCATAACTGGCTGGAAAACCACAAGTGGCTACCGTTAGAGCACTCCACCATTTAAATGTGAATAAATCTTTTGTGTCTCGTACCATCGCTCGTTACCGTGATACTGATAGCGTAGTCCGACGTCAAGGAAGTGGACGGAAGAAAACAGCAACATCGGCAGAAATGGTTCGAAAAGTAAAGAAGCGACTTGATCGAAACCCGCGTTGCAGTGGCCCAAAAATGGCTCGTGAGCTGAACATATTGCAATATTCCATTCGGCAAATATTGAAACTTGAGCTCGGGGTAAAGCCATTGAAATTCCGAAAAGTTCAAGAACTTACACCGCAACAGAAAGAAAATAGACTCAAAAGAGCTAAAGAGTTGCTTCGCTTGGCCGAAAGTGGTGAACTGCCGAATTTGGTTTTCTCCGATGGGAAAACATTCGCTGTCCAGCAGTTGCAAACAAACAAAATAATCGTGTTTACTTGCCAAAGAGGTCAGCTAAAAATGTGCACCTTCGGTTGGCCACCAGAACTCAAGCGCCGGCAATGGTGATAGTCTGGGCCGCCATAACATCAGAAGAAATGCCGAATATTATCGCAAATATTAAAGCCTTGGGCACGCATTTTGGCCGCAGACCTTGAACATTCCAACAGGACTCAGCACCATCGCACTCAGCACCCGCCACCCAAGAATGGTTACAAAATGAGGTTCCTCGCCTTATTTCCAGCCCACAATGACCACCAAAATCTCCGGATTTGTGTCTGTAGTATTTTGGAAAGCAAGTTTGGTATTAAAAATTACCAAAGTGTCGATCACCTCAAGCAAGCTCTTCGCCAGGAAAAGGGCCAAAATACTGCAGAGCAACATTCGGGCAGCATGTGACGGTTTGGCCCTTTGAAAGCCATAATTCGTGCCAAAAGTGACCAATTGAAACAAATCCACACTTATTCTAAAATTGATGCTATTTCCGACATTTTTGGCTTTCATTCAATAAAATTTTAAAAAAAATGTAAAACTTCTGGCTTTTGACTTTGTTGCCGTTTTTATCTCACCCTGTATATATATTTTGAGACCTTAGCCACATTTACTATGGTGTGTAATTTTACTTTTTCTTAAAGGGGAGTATTCAGTTTATGCAAATCATGGTTCAATTTTTTTATCTAATATCAACGAAAACAAAGAATCACCTCGTAAATTTTACTGCACATATTTGATTAAAAATAATATATTGAACATAGATTTTTATTTAATAAACCTTGATCCTTTCAGCATTTATTTTATCCCTGAAAAATTCCTTGATATTATACTAACTACTAATAATAAAAGCTAATTATACTTAAAATTATTTTATGTAAATTTTATTTTTCATGCATTTTCCCATTTCTTCTTACTGCAAATTCGTTGAAATAGATATTTTCACAAATGGCTATCGGAATAAAAATCTTCGAAAGACACTGGACATTTCGTTTGCTACCTGTCGATTATTTAGCTGAAATGTATACGCTGTTACGATGATGGCTGCTGATGCCGCTGGCGGACATAGCGTCACCAAAAGGATTTATTGCACCGCGAGTTTAGGCAAATTTTGCAAATGAGTGCTGTAGCAGGTAATAGAAGTTGCCACGATATTGTTGTATATAAATATTAGACTTAGAAATGGCAGGACATCAGTCAACGTTTCACAGTCCTAGAAAAAACATCACCAGCAAAGAACACGAGAACAAGAGAAAAATATACAAAGCAAACGAAATGTCGTCTGTAATGCATTACTATCCCATGCATCAATCATCCAAAGTGACAACAGGAGTTTATCCAACACCAGTTGTTGGCTACAATAATGTAAGTAGTTTTGGACGCACTCAGCAAATGGATTCAAATTTGCTCATGGTAATTTCCCCTCTCTTTTGCAGGTGATGTATCCACACAATCAACAGATCTATCCAACTGCAATGGACCAATCCTATGCCAGCAGCAATAGCCTCTCAAATGATGTAGAAATGCAACGTGTATCTTCGGATGAAAGTATACCACAATCGGAACCGCCACGTACCAAAATAAAACGATCGCGTACAGCCTTTACCAGCTCCCAACTGGTGCAATTGGAAAGTGAATTTAAACGCAACATGTATCTCTATCGTACGAGACGTATTGAGATAGCCCAGCGTTTATCCTTATGTGAGAGACAAGTTAAAATCTGGTTTCAAAATCGTCGCATGAAACACAAAAAGGATATTCAAGGACCCCAGGAAACAAAGAGTGCTGCCAAAACATCTCAACCCCATAGCGAGCAGAATGAACACAAGGGTATTGTACAACGTCTAATGTCCTATTCTCAAGATCCCAATTTGCAACAGGCTGAAAAACGCTCATACAGTACTGCATTCCCTGCCAACAATGCCTCCCTGCCGACTTCAAAGAGCAAAGAAGTGCAACCTCTGCCAACAAACGTAATAAGCACACCCCAAATTCCACAGCCATCATTTACACCTGATATAAATGAAATACTCGATCATTTATCCGAAAGTTCGCCCAGTAGCAGTAGTCAAAACTCCTCATCCTCGTCCCTGAATACATCAGCTTCGTCCTACAATTTGGATATGGTCCTACAATCGATTAAACAAGATTTAGAAATGTCTGCTCAGGCTTGGTCTCGTAACCCTCAACATGGTCAGCAATATCCGAGTGTACCAAATGCTGCTCCAACACCCATACCCTCAATGAATGTTAGCTGGGGTGAACCTTCTGCAAAATCAATGAAAATCAATCGCAGTCATTTGAATCCCTCGACTATGTACTACAGCTATCAAAATCCATCCCAATAGGTGGAAGATTTTATTGCTCCTTGTTTTAGTTCATAGAAAATAGTTGATATTAATTTAAAAACGTCATTTCATATTGACGATAATCATGAATGCCCCTCTCCACTCTTCTCATATGTGACTTCGTCTTTAAAAGCAGTTCTAGTCGTAAGTCCTCTAATTTTAAGTTTATTTTTTCTTAATTTTAAACATATAATTTTAAATTATATTTTGTAATGTTGTGCATGTACCTCTCTGTCAATAGCAAGTGTGTTTAAATATGTATTCTAAGTTGTAGAAGTTGATGATAATAAATTTTGGAAAATTAATTGGTCAACCCGATTATAAATATTCACCATTAGAGATTCTTACAAGGAAGCAGGTACTCACTTCACGAATTCATTGGCTCCAGCATTTAATTGTGAATAAATCCTTTGTGTCTCGTACCATCGACCGTTACCGTGATACTGGTAGCATGGGCCGACGTCAAGGAAGTAGACGGAAGGAAACACCAACCTCAGCAGAAATGGTTCGAAAAGTAAAGAAGCGACTTGATCGAAAACCGCGTCGCAGGGGCCGAAAAATGGCTCGTAAGCTGAATATATCGCAATACTCCATTCGGCTAAAATCGAACAAGTAAAAAAGCAGTAAGTTCAGCCGGGCCGAACTTTGAATACCCTCCACCATTTGGAACGAATTAGGACCGACAAATCTATGTCTAGGGGTAAAGTACTCACAAAGAACTCCTTGTTAGATATCGTGGACCTATATAGACAATTCTCTTTCTACCCTCCACCAAACATAATATGGAGGGTATATTAAGTTCTTCATTCCGTTTGTAACTCATCGAAATAATCATTTTAGACCCAACAAAGACGATTTAGCCCTGCCCCTCCGTCTGTTGTAATCATGCAACAGGCTAAACCAATTAAGATAGAAAGCTAAAATTTTGCCCAGATCACTCTCTTGTCTGCAGGCAGGTCAAGTTCGAAGATGGGCTATATCGGTCCACGATATCGTATAGCCCTCATATAACGGTACCCCCGATATCCAGTATTTTGATGATTTTAGCCACATTTTTCAATGGAATTGTATGAAATTTTACACAAGGGGTTCTTTGTGAACACTTTACCCCCGACAGGAATTTCTCTATATAGGTCCATGACATAGGTCCACAATATCGTTTATCCCCCCATATATCGGCACCTTCCGAGAATTTTTAATGTATTTTATTTTTTAAAAATGTCTTAATTTGTTCCAAATGGTGGAGGGTATTCAAAGTTCGGCCCGGCCGAACTTACTGCTTTTTTACTTGTTATTTTAAAATTTTATGCTATTTCCGACATTTTTTGCTTTCATTCAATAAAATTAAAGAAAACAAGTAAAACAAGTAAGCAAAGGCTACAGTCGAGCGGGGCGACCGTTGAATACCCTACAACACTATAATAAACGATACAGTTTATATACGCGAGATACTCTAAAGAATTCCACAAGATATTGTGACAAAAATAAAAGAAAACCATAAGGTTTCATTCTCTAATTTTCGAATAATAGCAACTTTAACTAATTTGCTCATTTCCAATTTATTGGTAGATGTTGCACTTAAATGGTCTTCCTAGATCTGGAACCAATATTTCCCAAAGACCTATAATCTCTGGCAAAAGATTAACATTTATTATTGGTTTTTGACTGAAACGCATCTATATGAGATATAGACATTTGACTATATTCTTCACGAAATCAGCGATAACGAAATAGTCAGAAGTGTCTCTTTCCTGTATTTGTGAATTCTCCAAAAAGTCACTGGAATGGACCATTTCGTATTTTGTCTACAAAAGTTGGCAAACTATTTCACACATTGAATATTTTTGGATGGCCATCCAAAACTGCTTGGCTTTTTGCAATGCCCGTAATCCCCATTCAAATGTGTGTGAGGATCGGGCAATAATTACGACCTGCTGACAATTTTGCAGTTTTTTTGGTCCATTTCAACCCCTATATGGCGATCATCTTCAAAAAGAGTAGGCTTCTATTCTGACCCTCATCTGATCCCCATGCAAAATTTCGTTAGGATCGGGCCATAAATTCGATCTGTATATGATATCCTGATATCCTAACTACTTAGTTTTGTTAGCTGTAGAAATATTACCAAATGTTTAATTCAAAATGAAAATATGCCAAAAATGTGACAAAATTGAAAAAAATATGAGAAAATGTTACAAAATCAATATTTTCATCTTTAGAGAGATATTTTTATGCAATTTTTTAGACGTTTTTTGTTTCCTACCAAGAGACCATTCTGAATTAATGAGAACTGTCGAAATCAGTTCAGCCGTTCTCGACATATAAGAGATCTTTCAAGCATATCTTCTTTGATAGACATATATATCGCACACATTTTGCTAAATATCCGTTTTGTTGGATGTTAACATCAATGTAAAGATCAGGTGTAACCTTGTCATGGCTTTGTGATTTCGCCGGGATTTAAAATATTTGCGGTTTAATGAAAAATTTTGAATTTTTTCAACACAAAAGATATGGTCTATTTTACCCGCTAAATATTATCCGATGACCACCCAAATTGGTAGGCTTCTTCCCCGCCCTAAACTCTAGCTACATGCGAAGTTCCGCGTCGATTGGTCTATAATTGCACTGCAAACTGCAAAATCCGACATTTTTTCAGTTTGTGGTCCATTTCGACCCCTAAATATTATGCGATCATTTCCAAAAGAAATAGGGTTCTATTCTCACCCTAGCCCCACCTCCATTCTAAATTTCGTGAAGATAGGGCCATAATTGCGACCTGTAGAGTGATTACAAATTAACATGGACAGACGAACGGACGGACATACATAGCTAGATTGACTCAACTCGGCGAGATAGGAAGATCCATATATACTTTCCTATGTGGGAAATCAATATTTCGTGGTGTTACATAATTTTTGGCCCAATCAAACTTATAATACCCCCAACACATAGTGTTGTAGGGTATAAATATGACAAAATACTAAAAAATCTATATTAACATCATTATCGGCATATTTTTCTTTAGTTTTTTTAGATTTTATACTTTTATGTCAGGAGGACATTCCGAATTGTCAAAATTTGTCAAAATCATCCCAGCCATTCTTAAGATATAAGCATTCTAACTACATCCCCTTCCTTCCCTTGTATATATTTCGCTATATATATATTTACTATCGGCATCTACGTAACGGTCAGAATTGACCTGTTCTATCTATTTGAGATTTCGCCGGGATTAAAAATATTCGCTGTTTAATAGAATATTTGAACACAAATGTTGTGGCCTATTTCACCCACTAAATATTACCCGATAACCATCAAAATTGGAAGGCTTCTGCCCAGCCCTAAGCTCTAGCTCCATGCTAACTTCCGCTTTGATTGGTCTATAATTGCGACTTGTAGAGCAACTGCAAAGTCAGGAATTTTTTAAGTTTTTGCTCCATAGGGTTCTACTCTGACCCTAGCCCCACCTTCATTCTAAATTTCGTAAAGATCGCACCATAATTGCGAGCTGTAGAGTGATTACAAATTAACATGGACAGACGGACATGCATAGCTAGATCGACTCAGCTCTGCAAGATAGGAAGATCCATTTATACTTTCCTATGTGGGAAACCAATATTTCGAGGAGTTTCATAATTTTTGGCCCAATCAAACGTACAATACCCCCAACACATAGTGTTGTAGGGTATAAAAATATTTACCAAAAACCGAGAGTTCTTAATGAATTTTTGTGGGAAAGCACCAGAAGGAGTGGAAGGACGTGGCCCATCTTCGTTCTATATATAGTGTTGTCAAGAGTATTGGAACGTATAAAGTTTTAAAAATAACGGGTATTCGTTGCACATCTTCTAAGAGTTAGAATTATGTGATTCGGACCATTCGGACTTAGGTCGCAATGGATACACTTTCAATAATATTTGAAAATTTGATATAAATTTGACAAAATGTGCAAAATATGGACCACGGCAGATATTTTGATCGCATTTGGTGATGTATATTTCATACAATGCGAATCGAGAACTCTTACAATGTCTCTCGAAACGCACTTTTTGCAGTATTTTTTTAAGGCCAAATCAAGCAAATATTTTCAAAATTAGTACCAATTTACTGGTACCCAGACAAACCCAATATCAATATTGCACCACACGTGTAAAGTAAGGAAATTATCATGGGATTGACTAGAATAAGCGAAGGTTCCTAGTGATCGGATCGTGTGAAATAAACCATAGACCTAAAAAATTGGCAGGTGTTCAACTGGGTTTGTACAACATAATATTATCTTCCACTGTGCTATGATAGAAACTGTAACTAGCCTTTATCCATTACAGTAAGCTCTGGAAACAGGAAAATCGTTCGAAGAAAACAAACACAAAATTTTGTGAAGCTTAAACAATGTTTCAGAATCCATAGAGTTTTCCATCACATTTATTTAATCATCCTTCTTGTATCATTCCTTAAATATTAGGTTCATGTAGCGATTTTTATTAAGCTATGATTTCGATTTAACAAGCCCAACATCAGTGTCACTTAGCAAATGTACCCAAGTCGTGGATTCCATTTTGAAATTGAACTGAACAGCTGGGAAAATCCAGGAAATATTTCATAGATAAGTGTCCCCAGATTTGCATATGCAGATTACATTTTACAACATAGTCGCGGATTTTTCTTTATTGGTTGGGATTTATTCGACGAATAAAGCTAATCCATCTTATATGACCGTTAACGTTGAAATATGGAATATGTGTGTGTGTGTGGTGTACTTAGGTAAATACTGCCTGCTTACCGTTAGAGTATTCATAAATCTTTTGGAAAACCCCAGGAAAACCCAGAAAACTTTTCTATCAGCCATGGTGCATTACCAGGGAAAAAGATTTTATAACACACATGTCATAAAACGTGTTTGCTGATCTAGGTATGTGAAACGCGTTTATGACATTAGCGGGGATGTACAAATTCCATTTGCAGGGCAGAAGATTCCAGGTAAAGAAATCACGGATTGTAGTTTTGTTCGCTTTTGCAATGGTCATAGTATGGTACATAAAATTCCATCGAATTGGATGTGTTTTAACAAGAATCCTGTAAAATGAACCGAAGAAAAGCAATACAAAGACCTAAAATGGTAAAGACTGGACAAAATGCATAATGGAAAAACAGTTAATGTGAAAAATATATAGAGGCGCTGCTCACAACAGTGACATGTTGGCATAAAAATTATATTTACAGAGCAATTTTAAGAATAAAATTTTCTGTAAACCAAAAATTTGAACTAAAAATTGCATTTCACTGACGTTTGAATATTGCA